ACTTACTAACTGGTGGGAATGACTTACTAACTGGTGGGAACCACTTACTAACTGGTGGGAATGACTTACTAACTGGTGGGAACCACTTACTAACTGGTGGGAATGACTTACTAACTGGTGGGAACCACTTACTAACTGTTGGGAATGACTTACTAACTGGTGGGAACCACTTACTAACTGGTGGGAACCACTTACTAACTGGTGGGAACCACTTACTAACTGTTGGGAACCACTTACTAACTGGTGGGAACCACTTACTAACTGGTGGGAACCACTTACTAACTGGTGGGAATGACTTACTAACTGGTGGGAATGACTTACTAACTGGTGGGCATGACTTACTGACTGGTGGGAATGACTTACCAACTGGTGGGAACCACTTACTAACTAGTGGGAACCACTTACTAACTGGTGGGAATGGCTTACTAACTGGTGGGAATGACTTACTAACTGGTGGGAACCACTTATTAACTGGTGGGAATGACTTACTAACTGGTGGGAACCACTTACTAACTGGTGGGAATGACTTACTAACTGGTGCGCATGACTTACTAACTGGTGGGAATGACTTACTAACTGGTGGGAACCACTTACTAACTGGTGGGAATGACTTACTAACTGGTGCGCATGACTTACTAACTGGTGGGAATGACTTACTAACTGCTGGGAATGACTTACTAACTGGTGGGAATGACTTACTAACTGGTGCGCATGACTTACTAACTGGTGGGAATGACTTACTAACTGGTGGGAATGACTTACTAACTGGTGTGCACAACTTACTAACTGGTAGGAATGACTTACTAACTGCTGGGAATGACTTACTAACTGGTGGGAATGACTTACTAACTGGTGCGCACAACTTACTAACTGGTGGGAATGACTTACTAACTGGTGGGAATTACTTACTAACTGGTGCGAACAAGATAGTTTTTTTTCATCCAATGTCCCTTTAAGGGCTCAGTATCATGTGGCTGCCAGTATTACAAAATGTGTTTAAGACTTTTATTATATTTTGCATCATTTCTATGTATTATAATGCCACTTTAGTGCAGTTTTATTACATTTTGAAGTCTGATTTTATTACATTATTACATAATGCAGCGTTTGAGCAGCTGCTGGCTACCCTAAAACTTAATCTTCTTTAATTTGAATAGTGCACCATGCTTGTTTAATTATAGTGAAAGCTGTACAGTAACACTGGGGAGAGACAGTTTGAAAAAAAAAAATTCCAAAATTCATTGAAAAACTACAAATAAAATTTCTTCTGGTAATTTGTTTTTCTATTAAATTTCACAATTTACTTTGCTTTGGAGCCAAGAAAGTGGCCCAAAAAGAGACACTTGAACCTAATTTGATGCAGTGATTTATTTACACAATAATAAAAATATATATATTTAAAGAAGTTTTTTTAACAACAGCACCTTCAGCCATAATTTTGAAGAGCTATAATGAGCCACAACATCAGTCACATATAACACAAAGTATGAAGGAAAATGCAGAGGTTTACCTCCATGCTAGGCTAATGGTTATCCTGACCAGGGTTATAAAACAGTTAGAAAATGGGTCTCCTGAAGCTGCTGTTTGGTTCCACCAGCAGACAACTAATCTAAAGAAACCCACATTCTGTAACAGATTAAACAATCTGTGTTATACCAAAGAGCATTCACCAGAATATCCCTTTAAAAGCATATAATTATTTGTTATTTTATGATTTTGTCAGGACTCCTTCACCCCGGTGATCTGTTGGTGGAGGTTAATGGTAACTCAGTGGTGGGAATGGAGCCAGAAAAGGTCATCCACATACTGGTTGGTCTGAAAATTACAAATTAATTCAACATCTTAGAAAGTTTTTATCCTTAATACTTTTACAAAAAAGTACTAAACAACTATTGTTGCCCTGATGTTTGTGATTTTTTTAAAGTGATCGTTCAGTTGTTTTGATGTGAATTTTTGCAGAAAAAGAACAGCTGGTCCTAATAAGGCCAAATTTTAAAATGGCAGGTGTGTTGGCAAGTTTGTTCTTTTATTTGTAAAAGCTTTTGGAAGAAGAAATAACACAAATGTTATCATCCCTGTGTTTTTCTTTAGTTTTGTTGATTGTATTCTGGATAATGCTTTGCTCTAAAACTTAAATGTAAAGAGTTAAATTCTTTAAAAGTCAAGAGTGAATAACCATCATGACTGTTTTGAAATGAAGCACCTTTTCTCTCTGGTTGTCTCCTGGTCAGACCAGCTCCAAAGGAACCATCCTGTTTAAAGTCATTCCAAACTCTGCTCAAGTCAGCATCGGTCAGAAGCCGGTAAGAAACATTGACCTCATCAGCTCACCTCAGTGCAGTGACAGGCCGAAAATATATTCTGTTCCTTTGTTTAGAAAATAAGCTTATAGAAGGTGGAGATCCAATAAACTGTATCCGTTCTGAGACTGACAGCCTGAGTAGATCATGGATTTAGAGTTATAAATGCATCAGCCACCATGCATGTTAGAACAGCTTTAAGCCAATCAGGTTAAAGTTGTGACATCATCACGTTAGCAGTCAGAGCTACACCGGATGACTTCAGCTCTTCTGTCACTCAGAGGTCATTTCATTGATGCTCTGCAACAAATCAGGCTGAGTTTGTGACAAACATTAACTTCTGCACACCTGTACCTCATCCAACATCCGGGCTTTAAAGCAGTAACCCAGTGAAACTAAATATTCAGTTCACTGTGTTGTACACACAACGCTGCCAGTTTATAAGAAAAAATGATGATTAACTCTACACAGTATCATGTTCATGTAAAGAACCCTCTCCTCTATGAGATTAATACCAGCTTAACCCCATAAAGTCATGTTCCACAAGATCTTGCAAGAAATTTAATCAGATATAATGAAACACCCCTCTGGTCATGAATGTGAAAAGAACTTGTGACCTGAACAGATTTCTCAAAAATAAAGTAATTTATTTTAGATATATGAACAGGATAAGCATACAAATATTAATAAAAATATTATATGAACAAAACACAAGTTATAATAACGGCACAAAATTCCACTCAGAGTTGACATAAAACAGTAAATTTCAGGTGTAATAATACAACTGGCACACTGCTTACTAAGTTTTAAGTAAATAAGAGAGAGAAAAAGTAAAGATTTAAGTTTTAAGAAATAGGAGGAAAAGAGAATTAGTAGTTTGGCACTGTTCTTAAGNCTGTTGGGAATGACTTACTAACTGGTGGGAACCACTTACTAACTGTTGGGAACCACTTACTAACAGGTGGGAACCACTTACTAACTGGTGGGAATGACTTACTAACTGGTGGGAACCACTTACTAACTGTTGGGAATGACTTACTAACTGGTGGGAACCACTTACTAACTGGTAGGAACCACTTACTAACTGGTG